CAACCTAGTGTTTCTGTGATTCTGTGATCCATTCCTAGTTTTCTTCCTGCATTTACCACATAACCACTTAATGGTTATTTCTGCAAAAAATAGATTTGTGGGAAAGAGCACCCAACTCCATCAATTTTTCTTATTTAACGAAATCAGCCTGGAAAGCTTCCCAACCTCTTAGGCCACGAAGAACAGTAAAATACAGAAAAACAATTACAGTAAGGGACAGTCTTCAGGTGTTTTACCTTTCCCTTCTTTTCCATAAGCAAGGGCTGGTGGAATAGTTAGCTTCCGCTTCTCTCCCACACACATGTCCTTCAAACCTTTGTCCCAGCCTTTGATAGCTTCCCTTATGCCAAGAGTAAACCACATAGGTTGACCATTGTTATGCTTGTGACTGGAAAAGAACGCAATAAAACACTTAAGTCTTTAGACAGCAAGTTCCATAAAAGGCATGTGGAGCAGATGGAAGATGCTCACAGCACAGATATATAAAAAAACACACCAGTATTTGGCACCTTGGCATTTCTTCAATGAAAAACCTAGACTTTTAAAATCTTTAAAGTTTGTCCCTTGCATGACAAGTTTCCTTAAGACGTGGAAAGAAATAAAACCACATCTACATGATGCGTTTATGACAACACTGGGCAACCTGGGTTCCCACCTTCACTGCCCTGATAACCTATTATCAACTTCGAAACTGATCACTAGAAAGGCATTTCTATTTAAAATCTACATTCAACACCATGCACATTCTTTGGTAAATTGCAAATCAAAAACCAGCTTGGTCATGATTACAATATACCTTATAACATGCTTAGAAGAATCAGTCACACCTCGTCCAAAAAAGCCGTTAAGAAAAAAACCCCAAAACAACTACACAACAGATAGTCTAGAAAAACAGAAGCATGCAAAACAATCAAGTTCAAAACAGGCAGACAAGCCCCTTTTCCAATTTAACCAGGTGGTACACCAGGGCTACTTTCACTCTACTGACAGACACAGAATTTTAAAAGCTCGCTTTATTAGTCATGCTGGAAAGGTGCTTAAAAAGAAAAGAACACTCACAGAAGTTAGTCAGCAGCAAAAACTTAAGAGTGTCACTAGAACTCCTTTCAGAGAGGCAGGGTAACTACAAGAGAAAAATTAGTGAAATTTTAGTTTAAATCATCTGCAAGAGCCTAAACATGCAAAACGTTGGTTTGGGTTTTTTTATATGTTCCACAAAAGTAGACTTCAGACATAGCCTACTTGAGCGTTTTGCCGTCACCTACTATTAACACTTCATTCATGTTTTACAGGAAAAGCAACATTAGCAAGTCGTTGCAGGCTCTTACAGACTCCCTCGAATTTCTGGCTCTTCCTCCTACTTGCATTACTGTGGCTCTGGTATGTTGATTTGTCTGGTCGGGGGCAGGTAAAGAATAAGCCGTTTCAGTAATGAAAAGATGTCATTGTGCTGCCAGTAGTGCAAGGATATATGCAACTTTTTTTTTTCTTTTTTTTTAGGTAGAGGCAGACTTATCCCCTAGAAGTTTGCTTTAGAAACCAGAGAGAAATTCGTGTGTAGCAGAAGAACAACTGAATCACTGAGATATCATACACCAAAACCTGTGTCTAAATTGCAGAAGAGGATGCCTAACATCTCCATCTTTTAACAAATGCCCTACAGCTCTACTTTCTACAGACTAACCAGAAACAAAAGTTGAATAAGATTTATTTTATAGCCTCGATCTGGCAAATGGAAAGCAGATATGCTTTACTGTCGGTGTTCTCTTAAATAGCACTGAGTGCCTCCTAGCCTCTCGAAGTGTAAAGGCAACTCAAACTTTCCTCAAAATAGATGGCAGTGGAAAGGGTCCCACAGACAAGCTTGTGCAGAGTTATTTAATTCAATGACAAATTAAACCTAGGCCATGCTATGAACATGCATGCATTGCTTTTGCTTCCTTGCACACGGGTGAACACAAGTTTTGTGCGTTTTGGGAGGGCGGAGTAATTGTAAAAATAAAATAAAATCACCAACCCTCAACCAAACACTCAGAGCTATTTCGCGTACGGATTGCGGGCACCTGTGAGGGGTCCTGATTCAGGAAAGCACTACCAGAACAGATCACCTACATTAAAATACATACACACACGCGTGTGTAGATAGACATAGATATATATATATATATGCGCGTATGTGTGTTTTTCCCCGTGCAAGCTCCAAGGCGAGCCGCTCGGAGCGAGCTACTTACGTGGAGTGAAACATGGAGCCATCCCTCTCCAAGTAGCCCTCGTAGTGAACCAGCATCATGTCCCCCCACTTGGTCCTCCTGTGGCAGAGGAACGGCTTCTGCAGCACCTCCACCTTCACGTCAGCCGCGGGGATCAGTGCC